GCAAAGAAACAAGGTATTTAAACTATTTTTTACAGAATCTAAACAAATATAATAATTTTTTATTAATAATATATTTCTGTACAATACATTTGCCATTGATAAGTCAAATTGGAGGAATTCCATTGAAACAGACTGAAAAACAATGCTAAGATAATTACTTTTGTCCTTTTCAGCTCTGGAGTTGGAATACCAACACATGTGACCTCGCAGCAGGAGCAGATTACTATCCAACAGCAAATAGCTTCATCCACTTGCAGCAAACACCTTCCATGAAGCACATAGGAAACAGGAACTCACAGCATTGACCCAGCATTAGGGGGTCTTAAAGCTACACTTGGTGTCAGGGCAGAACAAGGAACTACTCTTCACAGTGTTACCCTGTGACCCCCCAGCTTCCAGAGCATCCCTACATGACAATGAATATGAGCCAGGGGTACTGTCCTGATCTAAGCACCACTAATAAATACATCTTCCTTCAAAAAAATCTGCTTCATGATTATTCTTGAGAATGCAGGCTGGAACAATCTCTGAAGAGGAAGTGCATCAAAGCTATTGGCAGTGTAAAAACCACCTTGAATTTTATCTGGAAATTTCATCATTCAAGGATCATGAAGCATTCCTGTACACTGCAATACCCGTGTAAAGTATAAGGCATGATTATGTCTATTGTACAGGATGAAACCAGACCCACAGAAGATAAAGGCAACATTCTCAAAAATGGCTATTTATTTTGGAAATCACGGGCATTAGGAGTATTCTACCTGCAAATCTCTCCCTAAAGTAAAGTACGTGCTGCTTTGATACCTTTTGTTCCGATAGCAGTTTCAAAAGTTCACAGCACTTCCAGGAAAAAAGTAAGAGATTTTTCAGATGTTGAGACCTTCAAAATGAATGGACATTCTTTGAAGTGTTAACCTTATGACTGCACTAAGAACATGTGCTGAGCCACTGACAGAGTGGGAAATGAAATTTCTAGGTACTCACTGCTTAGGAAACCAAACAGTTGTGCTTTCCCCTCTTGCCCCCTTTGGTAGGCATACGGATTTTATCTGTCATCTAAGCTGACCAACCCTGTAACCCAGCAGCCAACTTCCAGCCACCAGGCCAACTTTGAGGCCACATTAGAAATTGGGTGCATAGTTTTGACACTCTGATTCACTGTGCTAGTACAGAATGTAGATAACAGACACTATATTGTTTTTCTTCTCAAAAGGTAATGTCTCTCAAATATACTTTTAAAAAGTCCATGCATGGGCAAATACACGTCTGCAACACAGGCCATGCCCAAAATCTGCCTTGGCCTTTTCATTCCTATTGCTTTAGACATCTATTTCTATCCCTATGAGCAGGCTATGAATAGGGAAGAAATGCACAGGCTGGTAGACAGTTCCCCCATAGCCCAAGGAAAAATCTGCCGTTAAGTAAAATGCTGCTACAGACTGCACAAGACAAAGCTGACTGTTAATTCCTAAAAAATGAGCTTGCAGGTTTTACATTTAATGGACACTTTTACCAGAGCATGAGCAGCAAACACAGCCTGTAGCAGTAATGAATATGTTCACAGTCCATTAGGAAAGAATGACCAAAGTTTAATTTTTTTCAGCTTATGTTCAGATTCTTTTTAAATATGCTCATTGTTAGGGCCAAATTTATTAGGACAGTGTGAGAATTTTGTATAATGAATAAGTGTCCCACAGATTATACCTTCACATAAATGAGTTCAACCCTGATGAAAATGAACCTTGACAACTTTGGTGTATCCTCTGAAAAAACATCCTGAGACAACGCTGTATGAAGAAAAATAGGACACCTGATAACCCAAGCACAAGCAGTGACTTTGCCTTGGCATGATCTGAGTACACACTGGAAAAGCAAGAGCATGCTAACTAATACTACCTAAGGGATCACTCCATCTCATGCTGGCCATTTGCACATGGTCAGCTCCTGAAAAAATGCTTTCCATTTTATATTTACCCAGAAAATCAGAATAGAACACAGCTGCACACAAATACTTTCAATGAAAAACAATTAGTAAAGGGCCTACCTCTGTACCCTAATTATTTGAAAAGCAAAAAACACTGCTTCTGTCCATCATCTTTTGCCTCTTCAATTCCATTGAGCCTTGGGGCCTCAATGCTTCAAAGGCACAGTGGTTTCTCCAGGGGCAGTAAACGCCACTCTATTAGGGTGAAGCTTTTGGTTAGTGATAAGGGAGGTTATCTAATGGGAAATCCCCTGTGCAGAACTACTTTCATTACCTGTGGTTCTGCTGGAGGTGAATGTTTACTGGAGAAGTGTCTGCCCTACTGGCATAAGCAGCAGATGGAAAATTCCTTTATAGGGGTGGGAGGAAAGTCAGCAGTGAATTTAGGTGGAAGTAGTGCAGGCAGTCCTGTCTCTACCATAATGGTCCTGGGTGTAATGGAAAGCACATGGTATGAGAAGGGATTTGTCTTCCTCCAGAACGCCCTGCAGGCTGTTGGGATTACAAACAGCAGAGCTGAGAGAGCTGTGTGCACTCTTCATCCACACAGATACCCACCTCTGTAGTCAGAGCTCACACACAACTCACCTGCCATGCCAGGTCCCATGATTTGTGTTAAACAACCTTTTGTCACTAGTGTCACCAAGCTGTCAGTCCTGAAAGAGATGAACATTTGCTATCAGTGGCTCATTACTGTCTTCCCTGTGAGTTTCCCTGGGTGACCTCTCATTCAAAACAGATGAAGATAAATTCAGTTCAACAGCTGACAAAAATCACAGCCTGCAGTAGTAAGGTTGCAATGTCACTAAGTAACTGAATAGCAGGATAACATGTCATGATCACATCCTCACATTTCTTGTTTTTCCTGTGCTTCAAAACTAAAATCTCACCCTACACTTCAAATATGAAACATTTCTCCCACTGCCCTGCATGTCCTTCTTATGAAGATGGAGAAAATCTCACTAAAGCATCAGAATTTGCTAATTAATTGAAATCTGTTGGCATTTTCTATCTTCTCTGTGTAAACATCAACTATACAAGGCTGCAGAAAATGAAGATACTCCTACCTGCTACTAACCATTTAGATCACAAGCTCTTTCAGAGATAGCACAATTTTTCACAAAGTGCAGCACCCAGCTCAACAGGGTTCAGATCCAGACACAGACCTCCTGCAAGTTTAAATAAGATTTCATGTAGAATTAAACAAAAGCTGTAAAGAGGAAAAGGAGCAGAAAATATTTAATCTTCATAAGAAGCAATATCCCAACATAAAAGTACTGCAGTATAACCAAATATATCCTCTTCCACTAAACTGGAAGCCACCAATATTCAAAGATTTCCGACAACTGGACTTCCATAATTCTGAGGTTCTTTTTGTAGATTTTGCTTCCATGATCCTGGCTGTTTTGCTGCTGGCTTACAATCCACCATCTGCTTCTCAAGTGGTAAATGGAATTTCAAAAGCAAAACAAACCAAGGGATGATAGAGGTTGGAGTCTGTACCTGTACTGGATCACTGACCAAGCTATTTTCCCTTCCTATAGCACTATCCACCTTTAGGACATGCTTCATCTCATTAAAAGCATAAAATCAACTCTTTAACTGAAACATGCTTGAGGAAGGCAGTTGAAAGGTGAGAAAAATCTTTCTCAAGAAATTTAAACATTCTTGGTGCCATCATTTTGAATGTCACATCATGCATAAGAAGAAGCTGAGATATGTTATATATTTTTTCCATTCTCAGTACTGTGAATAAACTCATTGTAGGTCATTATACATAAAACTGCACAAATCAATTTTGCTGTTTTAAGTGTTGAGTTGCAAAGAAGTGATCAATCAGTTCTAAGAGTAGGGAATTTAAAAGTTCTATCCATTTTGAATGAAATATCTTAGCATGAGATCAGGGTGACCATTTCACTAAGCATGCTTTGACTCCCTTTCCCTAAACTAGATATGCAGTGTAAATCTGACAGCCCATCTCAAAATGTCAGAAGCATTTAGATTTATCACCTACATTTAAATAATGGATCATATCCAAAAACTTAACCAGCAGTTTTAGAGATGTGTGTAGCAATCTTCATTTCCCATTACTGGAAACAGATGCAGTGACGTTAAGCCCCTCGGTGAAGGTCACCCAGCACATTATCTGCATCCCCTCCTACTCATTCTTTTGATCACTCTGAGGCACAGATAAACAGAAGTCTAGGTCACGGTGCTTGGCCCACTTGAATATTTGCCTACTACAACACACACTTCAACTGAGGCATTTGGGATCTGAGCCCTTAAAAAGAAGCAAACTCTCCAAACAGGAAGCCCCAGGGAGGGGGAGTGAAGCAACCTAGGCTCTAGTCCAAACTTCTCAGCCTGTTGCTCACTGATTAATTTAACATCCTGTTGCTGCCAGCACCCTTCAGAAATCACCATTGCCTTCTGTGGGCCAGGCCTGCACCCTTCATCTGTCAAACACAGGCATTGGTACTTTTGCTCACCACATAACACCTCCAAACTGGAGCATGGACTGCAAACTACTAATAACTTGGCACAAACAAATGCAATTATGTTAGGTAGGTAAAAAAGAAAATAATCTATACTGACATGTCATCTATACTGACATGAGTGGTGTAAGCCCATTTCCCTGACACAGCTCCCACCTACAACCCTTAGCAATAGCTAAGATAGTCTTTTTTTTCAAAGTTCTGTTATTTTCACTTGGAGTTTCTGTGACAACAATATTATAAATTCACAGCCAGGTAGACTATAATAGAGTGGTAACTTGCTGAAATCATATATTTTTGCACTGTTAGCTAGCTATAGTAATATCACCTTTCACTGCTTCCTTGGTGATCCTTAGATTGTTATCTAAGGCAGCACCAATCCTGTTCATATGTGGTTTTGTACCCAGAACGTTTGTACCAGAATGGGCCATACATGATTGCAAGCTAGTCAAGTATGGTTGGAAATTGTAACATCAGTTGCCCAAATGGGCAAAGTGAAAATAGAGGAGTGCACAAATCAGTAATTTAGATCAAGGAATACACAAATTATGTCCAACTAGCTTTGATTTTTTTTTTTCCTGACTTAAAAAATATATAATAAGGGTTAGATGCTCTGCAAAGGATACAATTATTTTCAGCATCTGAGGATCTGACTCGGGAGAATAAACTTAATAAAGCAGATTTAAAGCCAGTACATCATAGGTGCCATTAGTTCACAGAAACACAGTCATGCAGTGAACCTGCTATTATCTGTACACTGAGAAATATTACCCTGAAAGTCTGACAGAAGAACATAATAGGAATAATGTATCCATCTGCTGGGTTTTGTCAGTATTAAAATTATTTTCTGGCTATTTTCTCGTCCTTCATACAAAAACCTTTGAAATATGAACATTTTGGCTTTAGAATTCTGAGTGTGTTATTTTGAAACTGAAAAACTAAATTCTCAGAGCATTATGCCTCTAGATCCTTGTAAAGCCAGTATTTCTTTTACAGGCTGAGTGTCAGAGTGATGCTGAGAAAATACAGATGTGAACATTAAACACTTCTTCCTGTCATAACTGCTCTACAGAACAAGTTTTACTACAGATGAAGGAGATGAAACCTTCAAAAATACAACTCAAAAGAGGCTACTTCAAGATATTTTCTGAAGGCCTTCAGTGCAATTAGAACCGTACACAAGCCACTTTCCTCATTGTGTTCTCCTTTCTGAGAAAAGCTGCCAGGAAGTCCTTGCATTCATTAGGAATCCCCTAGAACATTACAGTATTTGTTTGTTAACCCCTCAGGATGTTCCAGGGAGAGATTATCATTATTCATGATCTGGTTATGGTATTTCGAAATCTGGCAAATGAATAAAAAGTGAGAGAGGGTGGCTGGCTGACTGCTACCATTGAGGACTTTTTGCTTTGGTCAAAAGGTACAAAATAGATGAACCAGCTGAAGAGGGAAGGGGAAGAATGTTCCTATAAATTCAACTACTGAACCTGCAATTGGGGAAGCTCAGCTTCATATCTACCCTCATTTCTATGCACAAATGCCTTTTTGATGCAACTTAGATACAAGTTCTCTGTTTCTCCCAACTCACCCAAACTCTTCTCACTGCAGTATGGTCTTTGATTAACATAGGCTTATTTGGTCACTGAGGCTTTTTTTGATCCAATAGGATCTTCTTCATAGCTGCTCTGCTGCCCTACATCTGTACTTGCCTTCTGCAAATTCATAATTCCCAAGATACTTCCTTCTACTTAAACACAACACACACAAGCCATTTTTAGAATGTTTCCTTTTGTTTTGGCAAGCATGAGGATTTTCTGTTTGTTTGTTAGCTTTGATTTTGATTCTTTTTAAAGCCTAAGGCTGAAATAAAGGAGGGGCAGTCACCCCAGGACAGCCTGTGCCAGCAACCCTTGGTGCTCTGGAATCACAGGGTATCCCATAAGTGAAACATGAGTTGTTGAATGTTGAGCTTTGCTCGGGGCTGTGGTGCTTTCTGGCTTCCACCAGGCAGAGCTCCAGTGTTCAGCCTCCTTGGTTTTGTCATCCGTATCCCCATTTAAAGTTAACACCTGCATCCACAGGCTAAGATCCCTAGGCTTGAGGAAAATCGCTAACACTCCTGCAAGGCAAGTTTTACTGCCTGACACTTCAGGAGATGGCTTTGAAGGGCAAAGCTCTACAAATTACTGTAAGAGAATCCTCAGTTCTTCTGTGTCCCTGTAATTCATCACTCAGCAGAAGAAACCTGAGAGACTCATTGTCTTATGAGGGGTCTCCCTTTTTCCTTACTGATGATCCTGACTTTGCAGTGTCTGCAGCAAGTTTGTGGGTGGAAATTGTACAGACATGACATAAATCACCTCAGGTTTTCTAGCAATAATATGACCCCAAGGCAACATATTCAGTAAATTAAAAATAAATTATGCGATGACCTGATGCGACTTCAGCAGACCTCATGTCAGACCCAGCCTGAGGGAGGAATGCACCTTCCAGCCTTTTCATAACAAGTGTCCTTCAACGAGTTAATTATCTACAGAAACTGTGTGTTTAGAAGACATAAAACAAGACCAGCTGATTTCAAAAGCTTTAAAACAGACTTGAAAATGCACCTCTAGGGCCTCACACCAGTGCACAGTACATAAGTCTAGGTGACACCACTGCTTACAGCAGCTTTGAGGGGACACAAAGGATGTTACTGTAAAATCTCTCAGGAGTTTGGGAGTGGCCATATTACCTATGTGAGAGCTCACAAATGAAGAGTGACGCTCCGAAACTCTTCCAGTCATGCTCTCAAATGTGAGTGTTCAGTTCATTTACATATCTGGTTTCTCAAACCAAGTGAGAGCTTCATAAAATGTAGAGGACAGCTGTAGTACAGATGTAATGACTGTGTTCTGGAACTGAGATTTGCATGCAAAGTCTGCCCATAACACTTTTCCTCTTTTCATGCTTGCATCTGGCCAGAAAATAATCCACAAATCTGCATCATACACCTACTCATCTCTAGTATGCACATATAAACATACAGCTGTATTTTGATTTCACAGAAAACCCAGAAAACAAATGATTATAAATTCATATGCTTTTTTTTTTTTTTTTCTTTTTCCCATGATAGCTGAGAGAGCCCCAGAAGAATATGTCTGCATCTTTTAATGACTTTTGGCTGGTGTGGTAGTTTATACAAAGCTGAAAAAAATAAGGTTCGGTTTCCTCTGAATATAGATAGATGTCAGCTCCAATTCTTGTTTATTTACAAAACCTCTCTTAAAAATTATTATGGAAACTTTTTCAAATGTGCTGCTTCTCTCTGTTTCTAAGCTTTTAGAGAGGTAGCTAAGTTTATAGGGATTAGGTCAAAATACATGCTTTATTTTCTAAAAGAGTCTACCCAATGTACACAAGAAAGTGTATTTTCATTTTCCCGATGACAGGTATAACATATCTTCATACATATAGCAAACTAAACACCATTACTTTAAAAATGTAGCTCACTTTTACTCTAGAAAATGCTCTATTAATTCTTCCCATTATCTCTATACTCAAGTTGCCACCATAGGTGTCAATTAGTAACTTACACTGTTTCCCCCTTTTTATTTTTAATTTTTTTAAATGTCAAGCTTTTTTTAACTCATTAAACTTTAGAGAACAGTGAGGATGAAGCCTTT